CAATCAAAGAAAAACTTCACAGAGCATCAAAACTCTTTTAATGTATTACAGATGAAGAAATCCCAATGAAACCATCTGTGGACTGCTTGGCAGAAACCCTACAGATCAGAACACAGAATAAAATACTTAAATTACTGTAGTTAAAGAAAAACTGCGGAGCAAGAACACCATAGGAAGCATGTCTGTCACCTAGAAGGGCTGTAGAAACAGCAAACTTCCCTGGATAAACAAAGTTCATAACCTCTTGACTAACTTCACAGGAAGTTTGAAAGGGAAGTCCTTTAAACTGGAAAACATGGGTCATTATTAATAACATAAGACTTATTAATGACAGAATATAAACCAACTATTGAAATAATACAGGTTGCTGCAGTGTGTTGCTCTTCACTGGCGGCTTGGCTGTATCTACAGAAGCCTAGGAGATGCATCTCTGGCTGTGTCTGTGGAGATATTTCCAGAGTAGTTTAATTAAGGAGGGAAGAGTCACCCCGAATGTGGTGACATCACCCCATAGTTTGAATCTTTTTCTACTTTCTGATTTAAGACACCCGTGATGAGTCCCCTCATGGTCCTTCCCTGCCATGATGGGTCCTCTCAAACGATAAACCCAAATAAACCTTCCTTTTTCGAACTGCTTTCATCAAGTACTTTTATCACAACACTAAAAATATTCTATAACTAAAATGTTTGTATTCAATGGTTTTTGTAATGATGTGCAGGGCGAGAGGGGACCATAGATCCCATGGTAGGAGACAAACACACCATCACACACAGTTTACACAGGAAGAAAGTTTATTGGGGAAGGGAGGGGAGAGAGACAGAGAGAGAGGGAGGGAGACAGAGATGGGCCTCCTCAGAGAAACGGCAGAAAGGGAGCAGGAGTGGGCAGAGCTCATCTCTTAAAGGGACCTTTGCACCTGCATACAGAGTCAAGATACAGCTTGCCATGCATGTAAGGGTGGTCACTCTGTCTCTCCCAGGTCCCCAAGGGATGGGGTCAGGTTTGCATTTGCCTGGATGATAACAATTTTAAGCCTAATGCAAAAGTAAAAAGACAAAATCACTGATAATGGCCACATCCACTACTTTTCCTTGCTGTGGCTAGTACCTGACATAATGTAGTGGAAGATTTACGTATTTTGGCCCATGATTTCAGAGGATTCAGTCCCTTTGTTTCTGGGCCCGCTGTGAGCAGAACCAGATCACAGTGGTGAAAGCTTATGGCAGAGAAGATTCAAACTTTGGTGTGTGGGAAGCAAAAAGAGGGACATAGAGAGAGGACGCCAGAGAAAACTGTGACCCCAAGGAACACACTGGCACTGACCTATTTTATCCAACTAGGCCCTACCTCCCACCAGCACAATCTTCATATTGAGTTCATCAATGGTTTAATGTATTTATTGTGTCAGTTCTCATGAGCTCATGTCTGGAGGTGACCTCGCACCCATATTGAGGGCTATGCTTCATGAAGTTCCTAGGTGTTTCCTAACCTACTCAAGTTTACCGCCAAGATTAACGATAACCAAGTCCACCCCTTCCCAGCCTGGCACCCCAAAACATCACTTAAAACCACAATATTCCACCTTGTGTCTCTTTCATAATGAAAAATCCAGTCGTCCACCCAATCCAACGGCAAAAGTCCCAAAGCCTTAGCAGTTCCAACATTATAAATTCAGGCTCCTCTGAGATGCAAGACAAACTTTCAGCTGTGAACATCTATGAGATATATAAAGAGCATGAGAATGGGGGAGCTGGTCCTGCCCCTCACTGGCTGCAGCACTCAGGAGAGCTGGCCCTGTGCCACATCCCAGGCAACACAGTAGAAATAACCCTGTTGGCAGAGGCTTAGGTGAGCCAGCCCTGAGAGTGTGAGAGCAGGAAAGTTGACCCCTCCTCCGTTTTCCTGTGGCACCCTCCCACACCCACCCCTTGCTACTTGCAGCGGTGGAAGATATGGCCATGGAGTCAAGAGAGAGGGAGAGCTGGCCCTGCCCCTCACTAACTACAGCAAGAGAGGGAGAGCAAGCCCTAGCCCTTGCCTGGGCCAAACAGTAGAGCTGGCGTTGTGGGAGTGGTGGAGCCAGCCCCAAGGGCATAAGAGCAGGAGAAATGGCCCTGCTCCTTGATGCCTACTGCAGTGGGTGAGCTAGTTGGGGCAGTGCTGGAGAGCTTGCCCTGGTGCTGATGATGAGGGAAAACCGGCAGGCTGCCCAATCCAGCTATCATCCCAGCCCAGAACCAAGGCTAAGATTTGGTCCACCCCAACACCCACCCCATCTATGAACCTGCTAGAGTACTGAAGTGGCTGGACCTGCAGATCTAAAGCAGCAGGATCTCCATGACATGGGGCAAGGACAGGAAATCCAAGAGGAGTCCCGGTGAGGCTTAGTATAAATGGTGTAGCCGAAGCCAGAGCCCTCGAACCAGACCCATAACTCATTGCAATGAACACTTGCAAGTAAAGATGTACAGACTAAAGGGTATTTTGTGTGACTCACTGTGTCTCACTACAGCTTCCATGCTGAGGTTTTAGTTTGCTTGGTTTTGTTGTTATTGTTGGTTTTTGTTTATCTTTCAAATTGTATTTTATTTTGCTGGGGGAGGTTGCAAAGGCAGAGAGCAGATATGAAGGGATGGGGAAATGGTAATATATATATATACATATATATACAGTTTTATACCATTCTATAAAACTGTGAAACAGGGTAATTATTTCCATACTAGCAGCAATAAATGGAGGAACAGAGAAAAAGAATCAGATCTCAGAAAAAAAACGCAGCAGGTAGTACACAGTGGAGGCTGCATGGCCAACATCTAGGGTATACCGCAACACTACACAAGTGCCAAGAGGCTTGGGCAGCTGAGCTCCTAGAGTCTCACCATTTGTAACCCACTCAGCCTCCCTCTGAAGCTGGTTTCCCTCAGTGTCTGAGCCAGAATTCTGTATCCATGACATCTCCAGCATCCTGGAATTCCATTGCACCTTTGGCTTTACCTTAACCGTTCACACATCACACTCTCGGGGGTTCCCTGTAGAGAATACGACTCTGCTCCAGACTTCCTAGTTCTCCTCAGGAATCACAGTAGAACATTCTATGATCCAGGAACCTTTTTATCCTGGAGGCACCACATGAACACCAGCTCAAGCAGTAGCTAGGCGCCCAAGGGCCTTGACTTCAACAGCCTCTGAGAACCTTGGCAAATGAGGCTGGGAAAGTACTTCCACTGACGGCAGGATGCCCTCGGGGTTCATTCGCTCACAGGAAAGTCTTTCAAATTAGTGTACTAGTTTGCATCCTTGAACTTACAATGCAAAGAAGTGAGTCTGGCCGGTGAATAGAATCTTGAAATGCCCTCAGGAAACTTTGTATTTATTGGCCACAGTAATTTTCTGTTTGTTTGGTTTGGTTTGGTTTGGTTTTTTTCAACTTGTCTGCCTCCATCAGATTGGCCAGTAGGCAAATCTGTAGGCATTTTCTTGATTAATGATTGATGTAGAAGGGTCCCACCCCCTGTGGGTTGAAAAATCCTTGAGTCGCAAACTAGTTGACAGTGGTCTCCATGGCTTGTACTTCAGTTCCTGTCTCCACGTGCCTGCTTTGAGTTTCTGCCCTGAGTTCCCTCAGTGATCAGTGATAAAGCATGATATGAGAGTTGTAAACTTGAAGCAAATCCTTTCCTCCCCAGTTACTTTTGGCGATGGTGTTTTATCATAATAAACATATTATCATAATATCACTAATATCATAATAAATCATAATATCATAATAAACACTATTGTCCCAGTGCAGTGCTTGACTTCTTTTCAATGGTGCTACTCTCCTTAACAACCGTGCACTCACTGATCACAGATTATAACTTGACTTTTATTCTAGTGAAACTACACATCTTTTATGATGGGGTAGAGATACAGATCATCATGGTGGGGTGTACAGTGATGTAGATCATCATGGTGAGGTGTGCAGTGATGTAGGGCATCATGGTGGGGTGTGCAGTGATGTAG